AAAAAAAAAAAAGAGATTAAGTCAGCAGGATTTAGTAGGTTTGATTTGGTTGGTGGGTGGTTGAAAGACAAAAGTTTGGGGCGCCTGGGTGGCTCAGTTGTTAAGCATCTGCCTTCAGCTCAGGTCATGATCCCAGGGTCCTGGGATCGAGGCCCACATCGGGCTCCCTGCTCAGCAGGAAGCCTGCTTCTCCCTCTCCCACTCCCCCTGCTTGTGTTCCCTCTTCTCGCTGTATCTCTCTCTGACAAATAAATAAAATCTTTAAAAAAAAAAAAAAAAGAAAGACAAAAGTTTGGGAGATACACTCTTGTATGGAGTAAGTAGAACTGTGACCTCTTGTATATACTTGAGTGACTGGAGAGACAGATTCTTTGACTGTGGTCTTCTGAAGTGGTCTGGGGCAAGATTTCACTGAAAACCAGTGTCTGAGGGGCCAATAAGACTGGACTCCATGTTTGATATATCTTCTACACCGTCTCAACTTTCTACCTTTTGTCTCATTCACAGGTCGGCATCCTTTCTAGATTCTCGGCTCCATCTCCTTTGTAACCTCCTCCCATATCTCTACTCCCTTTAAAAATGTCCCTTGCTATATTCACACCACCATCTCTGTTAAAAGAAAAGGGGGGGGAAGGAGGGAGTGACAGCTCCCTCATAAAGATTCTTTGGTATCCATAGGAACCATTTTAAACCAGTGACATCTTCCTTGGACATCAGACTATAAACTCTACAGGGTGAGAGAAAGTATAGAAGACATCACTAAATCATTCAGTAACTGGCACTCAGTCATGTTCTGTGGTGGGAAGTCATCACTATTGTTCAGGAAGAATAGAATCCATCACTTCCTCTGTGTTTTGTGTAACAGAAGGCAGTTGTTAATTACCCTTTCTAATCCTTTTCCTCTGCTGTTTTCTGACAAGGGTTTGGGAAGAGGTAGGGAAAGCAATTGATATGATATGGTTTCTGGGATGACAGGAAAGTCTCTGTTCCCCACCATCACCTCCAGCCTCATTTCCAAATATCTCCTCTCTCCATTCTGCTCAGTAATGCCTAACATTTCTCAATTAGAGATTCATGCATTTGGCTTGAGAGCTCTACCTTTTTGGGTGCTTGGGTGGCTTGGTTGGTTAAGCGTCTGCCTTTGGCTCAGGTCCTGATCTTGGGGTCCTGGGATTGAGTCCCACGTTGGGCTCCCTGCTCAGTGGGGAGTCTCCTTCTCCCTCTCCCTCTATCCCTCCCTCTGCCCTTCCCCCTGCTTGTGCTCGCTCTCTCTCTCAAATAAATAAATAAATAAATAAAATCTTAAAAAAAAAGAGAGAGAGCTCTACCTTGTTAAAAAGCAAACATCCCTGGAAGAGTTAAGATCATTAAAACTTGCATTATTAATCATGTCCACCATAACAACCAGTTCATTAGATCCTTTCCTGAGAGGGATAGAAGAAGGATAGAAAAGGAGCTTGGAGACAGGAAGGAGGGGGAAGCTGTGAGGGGAGAGAGATTTTACAATTTTATCTAGTGCATGTTTACTTGCCTGGGTTGATGTCTAGGAGATCCTGCCCTTCCCCCAATCCCACCTTTTACTTACATGATAGTTTAATCTTTCAATAAGAAAAAAAAAGTAATTTTTTTTTAAGATTTTATTTATTTATTTAACAGAGAGAGACACAACGAGAGAGGGAAAACAAGCAGGGGGAGTGAGAGAAGGAGAAGCAGGCTTCCCACAAAGCAGGGAGCCCGATGCGGGGCTTGATCCCAGGACTCTGGGATCATGACCTGAGCCAAAGGCAGACGCTTAACGACTGAGCCACCCAGGCGCCCCCCCCAAAAAAAGTAATTTCTTATAAGTATGTATTTCAGTATAAGGAAGTAAAGCAATATTCAGAGTAAAAGAAAGTAAGAATCTAAAATAATAAAAGACATGGCTGGGCCAGTAATCGATAATGAATAATACCTTTTAATAGTATATGATGAAAATAAAACTGAAATCATATTCAATTATATTGAACTTTTAACATATTATAACACAAATTAAGTCCAGAAATTTTTGTTGTGTATATTTTAAAAATTCTATAAAAACACACACTTATGTCTGAGGAGAGCCTTGTAAGAAAATAATGGAGATATTCGGAATTAAAGGACTTGTTAATGTAATCAGCATTAAGTACTTCTTCCGCCTTTCCCAAACTGCTGAGGTAGTAAAAAGCAGACCTCTGCTTCTTCTTCTTTTTTTTTAAGTAATCTCTATGTCCAGCATTGGGCTTGAACTTATGACTCCGAGATCGAATTGCATGTTCCACCAACTGGCCCAGCCAGGCGCCCCAGACCTCTGTTTCTTAATGGATGCTTCTCTCTGTGAATTTTAACCCAATGAAACATAAATAAAATAAGTATTGTACTTGCCCCTCCCTGTTGGTGGTATTACTCAGAAAATAAAAATCTGCCTGGAAGGAAAGGGACTCTGGCATAAATATGAGTGAAGAGAAAGGATTCTTTCAAACTCTTACATGTCTCTGGTGATCTAAACCACATCCTAAACCTAGAGGTCTGTTCATTGCTGTGAGACAGGGTAGTACATGAGATCAAACCCAGGATTCAAACAATATTCCTCAAGAATAACCACCAGCTTTTGTCTTAAGTCCACTCCTCTACAGTGTTCGATGCACATTCTATCCTTTTGAAAAGTGAAGTATGCTAACTTTGTGTTTATTATTTGAGGCTCAATATCACTTTACACCATTTTTTTTTGGTTACATGAATTTGGGGTACGAGTTCAGCAACTGGGATTCATGGTAGAGTAGTTCTGCATTTATTGACAGTAGAGGAACAGAGCAGATGAAAAAAGGGCAGAGCAGACGAGCCAAGGGTGTAGACTTTGCATCCAGACTCTCGAGTTTGAATCCTGGCATTTACTAGTTATGTGACTTCGGGCAAGTCACTTTCATCTTCCGTCCCACAGCTTTCCCATGTGTAAAATGGAGAGAATCATACATGGAGTGGTTGAGGATTAAAAGAGTTAATCATATAATGTACTTAGAGTCTGGCTCATTGTAAACATCCGGTGTTAGTCATTCTTACTGAATAATCCACAAAATGGATAGTTCAAAAGTGGAGAGTAAAGGTGGTTTAATGCAGCGAGACCAAGGAGAAGCAAGCGCTGTGGGTAACTCAAATGTGCTCAGTGCACTGAAGTTTAGCATCCAGCGGCCATCCTCCAGGTGTCCTTTTGGCTCTGCTCAAGGGTGAAGATTTAATTCAGCCTGCAAGTAGCTCAAAACTCCTGACTGCTAGCCTCAAATATGAACACCTCTCTTGGGCAGGGTTCCTCTTAAGGTCACACATAGCATGCTGTGACAACCCCTAAAACAAACCTAACTCACCATTAATCATAAAGAAATTTGTAAAGATGTCTTGGCAGAGGGCTGGGGGTGAAAGGTGAAAATCTGGGGGGCAGGGTGGTGAGGATTCATGTTGCTCACTTTACAACAAAAACCACGCAATTCACCATTGGATGTGTCTATTTTTCACATGCCAGTTGACTCATTTCCTCTCTTTTCTCATACCACCTCCCAGAGGCCTCTCCATTGCTCTAGACAGTTCAGCTGTGGTTCTCCACTTATGTTCCTCAAGCAAACAAGAGCCTGGGAAGTAGACCAATAGTGACCATTTCTAATTAATCTGGTATGCCTCTTGGGGGTTCCCACCCTTCTACATGCAGCTTATCAAATTATTCACCCAACACAAACTAATCTCTTTTTTGGGACACTTCTTGAAAATTTTCTCCATTTATGCTTAAAGCAGATGGTGGGTGCTCAACAAACAATAGCTCCCATCTGGGAGCCACTTGAGCATCTGACAGTAGTTGTAGGAGAGACCATCAGGAAAATGAAAAGGGGAAGGAAGGAGTGGAAATCTTGCATAGGGTAGATTCAGTATTATATTACTTCAGAAATTTTTTCTTGCTTGAAGGTTTTTAAGGGAAAGAGAAAGGAGGAGAAAGGTCACAAGGATTTTATAAAAATACACCAGTAATATCAAACTGTAAGAATTGGTTGTTACCTTATTCCTAAGATTGTTGACAAGTAGATGGGGCTTTGACGAAAGACCCAACAGTACTAACATTGCAATATTAACATTTATTTAGAATCTCTTTTGAAGCTGTGCCAGACCTGTTTATCAAGACTGTAACTTCATGGAAGTTCTGGCATGCCTCAAAAACTCAGCAGAATTTTGCTATTTCTGCAAATTTAAAGAGCTGCCTTCCCTTATATATTCTAATTCCTTTTTTTAAAGATTTTATTTGTCAGAGAGAGAGAGGGAGAGAACAAGCAGGGGGAGCGCCAGGCAGAGGGAGAAGCAGACTCTCTACTGAGCAGGGAGCCCGACGTGGGGCTCGATCCCAGGACCCTGGGATCATGACCTGAGCCAAAAGCAGACACTTAACCAACTGAGCTTCCCTGGTTCCCCTATATTCTAATTCCTTAAAGGTTTTGACAGCAAAAATTATGTTCTGAGGTAATAAAATGGGTGGAGGTAGCTTCAGGCTGGCATTGCTTTAAGTCTGAAAAAAAAATGGGGCACTGTTGTTTTTGTGGTTTCTGAAAGAATTAGTTTTTACTCGATGTTACTTGCCTTGCATTTCTAAGTAGGAAGACATCTGATGAGGTTCCTCAGCCCGCAAACGGACTGCCTGGGATCTGGTTCAGCCCCCACCTTCTGCACTCGGAAGAGAGCCCGAGAGGCGATGATGCGCAGAGAGGGCTCAGGATCACCCAGCAGATCTCTCAGATCTAAATGGCCAGAAAACCCAGGTTGGAGCTGAAGGTCTATGAAAATGATCACTGGTCCACACACCAAAAAGCCAACAAGCCTGCAGCAGCTGTGATAAAGGACTTTTTCTAAGACTCTATCTGAAAGTTATACATTTGTAGATCAATTCCAATTTTGACCTGTGAAACTTATTCATTTTTGAATTGCCAAATAGTTTACTCCTTTACAATAACCACACTGCCAAGTAGTCCCCCTAAAGTCAAATTATCTGTACTTGTCAAGCCATGTCTAAGACTGCTGATTTCTAAGTTCCTGTGTTGGTCCTAGAGGCTACTCTTAAGTTGTTATTCCTTTTAAGCTTTTTCTTAAATTTTTTTAGTTTTTATGTTTCTTTGTGCAAAATAAATACACGTTCATTGTGTAGAAAATTTAGATAACATATAAGCACTAGAAGAAAATCAGTTACCCATAATTCGACCACCAGAGAAAACCACTGTTACATTTCTGTTTCTTTTTTATATTCAGTTACACATGTGTGCCTTTTTGTTCAAGTGGAACCACATTATACATATTATCTAATAATTTTTTATTTAATATTGCATCATCACTTATCCAAGTCATTAAAATTTTTTTCTGTAATATATATCATAGCTTTGGGGTGCCTGGCTGGCTTAGTCAGTAGAGCATGCAACTCTTCATCTTGGGGTTGTGAGTTCGAGCCCCACGTTGGGCATAGAGATTATACTTTTATTTTATTTATTTATTTATTTTTAAAAAGATTTTATTTATTTATTTGA